AATAAAATCTTTAAAAAAAAAAAAAAGTGCAGTGATAATCAGGCCTAGAGTAATATGCATAGTCAAATAATTTGGGCATGTGTTACAAATGTTGGTAAATGATTTACTTTGTCTAGGTGTAAGTGACTTGATGGATAGTAAAGTATTCATCTAACCTTAAGGCAGAACTGACCATGGAAAGCATTTAACTTGCAAATAAGCATTCTTCTGTTTTGGCTTTTGTTTAGTGTGGAATCCAGGGAAACTATTTATTTTAACCATCCGAGCCACCCAGGCACCCTTTTTTTTTTTTTTTTTAAAGATTTTACTTATTTATTCATAAGAGCCAGAGAGAGAGAGAGAGAGGCAGAGGGAGAAGCAGGCTCCCTGCAGAGCAGGGAGCCCGATGCAGAACTCGATCCCAGGACCCTGGGATCATGACCCGAGCCGAAGGCAGACGCTGGGAAACTATTTATTTTAAAGTAATTACCTGAATCAAATGCTCAGAAAAGCCCAAGGGTGTGTGTGTATGTATGTGTGTGTGTGTGTGTATGTGTGTGTGTGTGTTGGCGGGAATTAAGTGGGTGGAGAGATCTAGAAAAAGAGACAATGACGTATTAGTAACATATGGTTTATCCAATTAGAAGAAAGTTCAAATACATTTCTAATTTTGTCTTGATGACCACAGCAGATGGGAGAATGTGAGTGAACAATGCAATTTGGTTTCAACTAGTTACTAGTAGAGGGAGGATTTTCTGTGTCTTGTGTGATAATTTAAAAAGGTACCTCTTAGGGGTTCGAGTTTCATTTATATGTTTTATTTTCAGAAAATGCTTCAATTTCTAAAGGACTGCAGGATCAGACCGTCTCTCTGGGCGCCACAGTGCAATTCACTTGTGAGGTGCACGGGAACCCAACTCCAAACCGTACCTGGTTCCATAATGCGCAGCCTGTTCATCCTTCCCCACGACATCTCACTGCAGGAAACGGACTGAAAATCAGTGGTGTGACCATGGAAGATTCGGGACTGTATCAGTGTGTAGCAGATAATGGGATTGGATTCATACAGTCTACTGGGAGACTTGAAATTGAAAAAGGTAGGCTTTTGGGTCCTGCAATCATAGGAAGTTTCACTTTACAGATAGGCTTTTGTTTCGGTTAAAAATTAAATCATTTTCACTAAAAGGGCATAATCCTATTACCATAACAGAACTAATGCCTATTTCCCATGTTCCTTTCTAGTTGCAGGTCAGTATTTCCATGATGAAGCAATATTACTTGATCAAGCTCATTAAAAAAAATTTTTAATTATTTTTTTTAACAGTTACTTACTATGTAGTTTAAAAGGCATGTGGTAAAAGTCTCTCATTCCTATTCCCCAGCCAACCATATTGCTTTTAGAACTAATTAGTTTTATCAGTTTCTTGAATATCCTTGTATGTACATTTACAATCACTTACACATAACATGTCTGTGTGCATTTAATAACATCTGTTTGTTTTTTCCCCCTAAATGGTGGTGTATTCTTTATCTTGAATTTTTCACTTAACATATCTTAGATATCTTCCTGTATTAAAGAGTGTTTCATTCCTTTTTCAAATTGCTGCTTATTAGTATTCCATGATATGGTTGTAATGATTTGGCTAGTTCCTTCCTGATGGCTATTGCTAATCTTTTGCCATTTTAAGGAGTTCTATAATGAATGTCCCTCTGCATAGATTATTTTGCTCAGGTGTTTATATCTGTAAAATAAATTCCTAGAAATAAACTTGCTGAATAAAAGCAGGTATGCATTGGTAATTTGGGTAGATACCACCGAGTTGCTCTGCAAAATTGTTACTTGTCTTTATATTCTTACTGATCAGCAGTGTGTAACTGCCTATCTCCTCCTGTCCTCACCAAGGCAGGGCATTGTCAGTTGTTTTTTAAATCTTTGCCAGTCTGGTAGGTTAAAAAAAAAGTACCTTTGGATCTATGTTTCTTCTATTATGAGTGAATTAGGCTTCTTTTCATGTGTATGAGTCATTTGAATTTGCTTTCCCGTGTATTGACTGTTCATTTTCTTTTGTCCATTTTAAAAATTAGATTGTTGGTCTTCTTTCTTGTGGATTGGTAGTTCTTTATATATTAGGAAATCAATCTTTTGTCTATGAGTTATAACTATTTCAAATGTCAAAGACTCATTGTCATGCAGACCAATTCTCTGACCTTCATGCAATTATTTTAGAAGTTAATAATAAAAAACAATTTTTAATTGGCCTGTATTTAGAAATGTAAAATTATACTTCTCAATAGTGGAGTTTAAAAAAAAACTATAATGGAAATTTAAAATACTTTGGTGGGGCACCTGAGTGGCTCAGTTGGTTAAGTGTCTGCCTTCGGCTCAGGTCATGATCCCGGGGTCCTGAGATCGAGCCCTGCATTGGGCTCCTTGCTCAGCGAGAAGCCTGCTTCTCCTTCTCCCACTCCCCCTGCTTGTTCCCTCTCTTGCTGTGTCTCTCTCTGTCAAATAAATAGATAAAATCTTTAAAAAAATAAAATAAAATACTTTGGTAATGAAAATGTCACAGATCAAATCGTGTAGGATATAGCAAAAATGGAACTTAGAAGGAAATGTATAGCTTTAAATGCTTATAAAAGAAAACTGGTAAGACTAAAAATCAGTGAGCTAAATGAAAAAACAGAAGAGATTTAAAGAAAGTAGAGGAAAAGAGATAATAAAGATAGGAGCAGAAATCAATTGAATAGAAAATTAAGATGAAGGAGAGGATCAATAAAGGAAAAAGTTGGTTCTTTGTAAAATCTAATAAAATGGACAAATCTTTGGCAAAATACTAATAAACAATAATAGGAATAAAAAGTAAAAGTCTTGTAGAGATTGAAAGTAATAAGACTCTGATAAACTTTATGCCAGCAATTTACAAAGATAGACAGAAACGGACAAATTCTTAGGAAAAATACAACTTAGTAAAGCTGTGACTTAAAAGAAATGAAAAAGCCTGAATAGTCCTATACTATCAGAAAGAAACTGATTAGGGGTTTAAAATCTTCCCACAGAGAAAACACCAGGCCAGCTGGTTTTATGGAGAGTTCTACTAAACTTTCAAGTAACAGACTGTTCCAAATATTACATAAACTCTTCCAGGGAAAAGTAAAAAATGGGAACTCTCCAGGCAGTATGATTTTGATGCTAAAAATCACAAAGGAATGGCACAAGAAAGGAAAATCAAAGGCCAATCTCATTTATGAACATAGATGCAAAAATCCTATATAAAATATTAGCAAGTCATCAACATATAAGAAAAGGAAATATCTCTTGACTAAGGAGTCATCCCAGGAATCTGTCAGAAAATTTAAAGTGTCATTCATCCTTTTGATTGAATAAAAAAGAAAAATAATATTATTATATCCATAGAGGCAGAAAAATTTGACGTATTTCAGTATCCATGTTAGACACTCTTAGAAAAATAGGAATAGAAGGGAATTTTCTTAATTTGATAAAAAGTATCTAACAAAAACTTACAAGAAACATCACTTTTAGTGGTGAAATATCTTTAAAATCTCTTTTATTTATCATCATACTGGAGATTCTAACCAGCACAGAAGGACAAGAAAAATAAACTAGCTAAGGATAAGAAAGAAAGAAACCAATGGGCGCCTGGGTGGCTCAGTTTGTTAAGCGACTGCCTTTGGCTCAGGTCATGATCCTGGAGTCCCTGGATCGAGTCCCGCATCGGGCTCCCTGCTCAGCAGGGAGTCTGCTTCTCCCTCTGACCCTAACCCCTCTCATGTGCTCTCTCTCATTCTCTCTCTCTCAAATAAATAAATAAATTCTTTAAAAAAAAAAAAGAAAGAAACCAAACCATTATTAATTTATAACTGCCATGATTGCCAACATAGAGAATTCTTAATTTGCTGGCAAATTATTAGAAATAACAAAAACATTTAGCAGGGTGGCTGGATGAAGAACAACAAGCAAGAATCAATGTCTTTCTACATAACACTGTATTAGGTTTCTCCAGAGAAACAAAACCAAGAGAATATATAAGATACAAAGAAGAGGTGATTTCTTACAGGAATCGGCTCACGTGGTTATGGAACTGGAGAAGGAGGCAAGCCAATAGTATAATTTATTTGTGGGGACGAGGAGGAGCTGATGGTGTAAGTCTTAACCCAAGTCCAAAGACTGGAGAACCAGAAGTGCTGATGTCCAGTGACCGAGGGCAGGAGAAGATGAATCAGCTTAAGCAGAGAAAATTCACCTCCCTCTGCATTTTCGTTCTACGGAGCACTCAGCAGACTGGATGGTGCTCACCGTGTTGGGTGGTGCCATCTGCTCTACTCTGTGTGTTGCAGACACACCCCGTTATCTGGACATCCCTTAGCCCAATCTAGCTGACACATAAAATTAATCATTACAATCAGCAACAAACAGAAAATATAATTTACAAGGCACCTTTCAATATTAGCAGCATGAAAAAGACCTAGGTAACCTAGAAAGGTATACCATTTGGTAGATACCCAAAGTCAGTATTAGACAGCTGTCAGGTCTTTTCAAAACCTTTTCTGTAGATTCATGCAATTTCAATTAAAATCCTATCAAAATGGGCAGGGAGTGGGCATAATAACATCTCACCATTGTCCCTCCCTTGCTAGGATAACTCTGGTGTAGGTTCTACATTATCCTCAGCAGTATTGTGCTTCAGGCCCAGTGGTAACCTGATTCTGTATACTCATAGTGAGCATGTTGGGGGGTGTCTGGGGGGCACAGTGAGTTGAGCGCCCAACTCTTGGTTTCGGCTCAGTTCATGATCTCAGGGTCACGAGATTGAGCCTCACGTTGGGCTCCCTGCTCAGTGGGGAGTCTGCTTGAGATTCTCTCTCCCTCTCCCTCTGTCCATCCCCCTCCGCATGTGTGCACAGGCTGTCTCTCTCTCTCTCTCATTCACTCTCTCTGATAAATAAATAAATCTTTAAACAGAAAAAAAAAATCCTATCAAAATATTTTGAGGATCTTAACAGACTGATTCTGAAATTTATATGGATGAGCAAAGGCCCAAGAATAGCTAAGACAGGAAAAGAAGAAGAAAAAGAACATGGGGAACTTGTTTTTACAGATATTAGTATACAAAAATCTGTGGTAATTAAAATATAACATATTGGTGCAGGAACAAATAGACTCTTAGAACAAGACAGAGACAGCCAAAGACATTTGCACCTAAGGACTTGACTTAGGTGGCATTGCAGATCACCAAGAGGAGGCTGTCCATTTCAAGTTTTGATGTGGGGTAATTAGTTGTCAAAATGGAGAAAAAGAAATTAAATCGCTAACCCATAATGTATACAGATGAATTCCTAGTAGATTAAAGTCCTATCTATGAAAGGCAAATGACAAAAAAAAAAAAATTATTTACTTAGAGAGCATGAGCGGGGCTGGGCGGCGGGGGGGCGGGGGGTGCGGCAGAAGGAGAGTGAGAGAACCCCAAGTAGACTCCTCCCGAGCATGAATCCTGATGTGGGGCTTGATCTCACAACCCTGAGATCATGACCTGAGCCGAAATCAAGAGTTGGATGCTTAACTGACCGAGCCATCCTGGTGCCTCGAGATGGCAGATTTTTGAAAAAAATATAGTTGAGTATCTGATTGGGTTTCAAAACTTAAGACATTTTGAGCTAATTTTTTAAAAAAAGATTGATATGACTACATTGATATTAGAACATCTTTGTTATTAAAGGATAGCATTAAAAGTGAAAAGAAAAGCAATATACTGTGAGAAGATACTAGTAACATACAGAACTAATAAAAGAACAGTATCTGGAATATGCAAAAACTCTGAATCACTACAAAAAAGATAAATGACCCAATAGAAAAATGTACAAAAGGCATTTCACAAAGGAGGAAAAATACGTGACACAGGTGAAAAGATGTTCAGTCTCATTAATACTCAGGGAGGTACAGCTTATTACCAGTGAGACAAAATCTTAACATTTGCCAGATTGGCAAAAATTCAGAAATCTAATCATGCCAGGTGATGGTTTTGTCAAATGTAGGAAGTAGGACTGGAGGAAGAAAAGGATGTGCTGGAGAAAATGCCATTTGTAATTAATATCCCATTGTAGGTGCACTTAAAATTAGCTCCAGGGGAGCCTGGGTGGCACAATCGTTTAAACACCTGACTCTTGGTTTCAGCTCAGGTCATGATCTCATGGGTTGTGAGATTGAGCCCTGTGTCTGGCTCTGTGCTCAGCCCGGAGTCTGCTTGAGTTTTTCTCTCCCTTTCCCTCTGCTCCTCCCTCTTGCACTCTCTCTCTCTCTCTCTCTGGAATAAATAAATAAATCCTAAAAAAAAAAAAAAAAAGAGAAAAGAAAAAGGAAGAAAGTACCTCCAGAGAATGAATACCTAGGACTAAAAGGAAAGAGACTTGGTGTCACTGTAGTTTGGAAAAAAAGTGTTGTTCATGTATATGGTAAGAAACAGGTTCATCAACTTATACTCAGAACTGGTTTCTCTCCTAGGATTTTTGTGATCAGATGTTTCCCCCGGAATTAACTATTTTTTTGTGAAGGAGTATTATTTTGTTTTATGCTATTTCATACTGTTTTCATGTTTCAAGTCTGAGGTTTTGGCTTCACATGTTCTGTACTTAACAGTGGTTGGATGTGTAGGGGATACATAGTGGAAAGCTCTCAACAGATTCCTTTATACATTCCGTTTTCCCTAAAGGACAGGAAGTCTAAGTAGGCAATGTCTAGGAGCCTACAATGAAGAATTTTACTTTTTTAAGAAATTTATTTGAGAGAGAGAGAGCACAATAAGGGGGAGCAGCAGAGGGAGAAGCAGGCAACCCACTGAGCAGGGAGCCTGATGCGGGACTTGATCCTAGGACCCTGGGATCATGACCTGAGCTGAAGGCAGATGTTTAACCAACTGAGCCACCCAGGCGCCCCAAGAATTCTACTTTTTATGGACAGTTTTACTTGCTGAAAGTTGAGAAGGGAACTAATAAGTGGTATCTTTGTTTTAATTATTACTATCATTACTGTATCACTGTTTGCATGTGACTTTGCAAACACTGTTATTTCAGTGAATGAATGTGTTCTCCATACTGTAAATGTAAAATATTGCTTAGGGGATTGTAAGCAGATTTACTGTAGTGATCATTTCACAAAGTGTATATATATGTTGAATCATGATGTTGTGCACCTGCAACTTATGTTATATGTCTGTTATACTTCAATTAAAAAAAAAACACTGTTAAGAAACACATGTATAAAAGATATGTTTAAGACTGCTACTTGGGGCACCTGGGTGGCTCAGTTGGTTAAGCGACTGCCTTCGGCTCAGGTCATGATCCTGGAGTCCCGGGATCGAGTCCCACATCGGGCTCCCTGCTCCGCAGGGAGTCTGCTTCTCCCTCTGACCCTCCCCCTCTCATGCTCTCTCTCTCTCTCTCATTCTCTCTCTCAAATAAATAAATAAAATCTTTAAAAAAAAAAAAAGACTGCTACTTGGGCACAACATTGAGAACATTTATGCAGTAAGATTAATTGATGTAATTTTGCATTGTAGATACAACAGTGTTCTTATTCTTTTTATGTGTGAATTACTTTTTTAATAGGCAGTGGACTCAAGCCAGTTATAATTACAGCACCAGCAAGTGCACAGGTGGTAGATGGAGACTTTGTTACTTTGTCCTGCAATGCCACTGGAGTGCCAATCCCTGTCATGCGTTGGTACGACAGGCATGGGTTGATAACCAGCCATCCGTCTCAAGTGCTTAGATCTAAATCCCGGAAATTCCACTTACGACCTGGGGGCTTTGACCTGGAGCCTGTCTACCTCATCATGTCCCGAGCTGGCTCAAGCTCTCTGTACATTCAGGCTGTCACTCAGGAACATGCTGGAAAATACACCTGCGAAGCTACAAATGAACATGGCACCACGCAGTCGGAGGCAATCCTCACAGTGGGTGAGTGGCCATTCGTTCTTTTTCTCGGGTGATTAGCTTCCTCTAATAGTAGGGGATAAAGTGCTTTGAAGTATGTTATTTTCATGAGTCCAGCAATCTCTAAATATAGATATATTTTCCCAGAGACAGTGAAATACAGAACTGTAGTTTTTGGTATTTGGTCTTCACATGAACTGGATGAACATTAATCTCCATTTCTGATCTTTTTGTTAGAGTTGTATTTGTCCTGTGGACGGCTCTCATTTGGGAGCAAGCCCCAGTTAGGACCTCTTTTCATGATTAATGCTTTTGGTTTTCTAAGCTACTGAATATGGTCATTGCAGACATTTTTCAGGGGAGCCCTTGATAAGTACAGTATCCAAAGTCTCAAGAGTTGGCTTTCATTGAGAAAGTAGAATCATGGTCCTATTAAATAGTACCTCTTATTCAAAGTTGCCTTTCTAATGGAATGCATAACATTCATTCTTGATATTCTACTGATTTTTGGTGAGGATGTCTTAAAAGCTTTGTACGGTTTTTGAAGAACTAGTATACAGAGTATCAATATTATTAAGATTAATTCAAATTGGACTTAATTCAAATTCAGACCTTCTGTCAGTGAGTATTTAGAACAGCCTCCCCCGCAGGTGGTCTGTTGAGTGGAGACTGTCCCTTATGTGTCATGCAAGAGGCAGAGTACTGCCCTTGGTTTTGGCAACTGAGGTCCCTGCTTTAGAGAACTTCGTGTGGCCTTCTTCTGCCTGGGGCCTCAGATCCCACAGGTCAAAGAGTCCATGAGGGTAAGGGGTTGTGCTTACCCGGAGCCTGGCGCCCATGTTCCTCCTTCCGTACAGCAGGACAGGGCTCTGGAATTCCTTGCTTTCATTAGTTCAAAGTCTGGTTCCACACAGCTCTTTCTCCCTGGCCCATCTTCCAGAATGTAGGCCACACCACCAGTGGCCAGTAGCCTTCAGCCTGGAGAGTGGACAAGGGGTGGTCTTTGGCACAGGAGTGAAGGTGAAGTAGACAGAGGTTGGATGGGTACACATGTATTTCCATTCACATGCACACAAGGACCCTCTAGCTCTAGATGAAGCTGGAGGTGGGAGAAGTGGGGAAGGCCAAGGACTTCCATTGATACCCTTGTGCTACTCTGTGAATGGCAGAGGTGGGGATGATGTGGGGGTTAAGCATGTAGGCTGGGTAAGCATCCTGGCTCTGCCACTTAGGAGCTTTGAGACCTGGGGCGAACTGTCGAACTCGTCCCTGCTTGTTTCCTCATCTGTGTAACAGACATAGTGAAGGTCCTACTCCTCAGGTGGATGTGGGAATTTAAGGAATTCTTTTTTTTTTTTTAAGATTTTATTTATTTATTTGAGAGAGAGAGAATGAGAGAGAGCAAGCACATGAGAGGGGGGAGGGTCAGAGGGCGAAGCAGACTCCCTGCTGAGCAGGGAGCCCGATGCAGGACTCGATCCAAGGACTCCAGGATCATGACCTGAGCCGAAGGCAGTCGCTCAACCAACTGAGCCACCCAGGTGCCCCGGGAATTTAAGGAATTCTTACCTCTAGTTCCCAGATGCAGAAACTGGTTCCTGGAGGTTAGGATCATACAGCTAAGGATACGTGGTGGAACAGAGTATGCACCTGGGCAGTCTGGTGTAAAGTGTTTATAATGGTGTCTGGCAACAGAAAACCTTCAAATTCCAAGTATTAGGTTCTAATTATTACTATCTAATTATTATTAAATGATAATTATCCCGTGTAGTGGTTAGGGAAGGAAGGAATAGTTACTGATTTCGTCATTTTAAGAATCCTCAAATAAAGAAGGTAGTTGAGTGTTGTATAAACTTATACATATATAAAAATACGTGTGTGTATGTATACAGGTGTGTGTTTATATATCTTCTGCCAAGCAAAAATAAGAGTGGCTCTACTCAAAAGTGTTAGCTGTAGGACAGGTGTAACCTAGGCGCTGCTTGGTTAGCTTTTGGCTGAAGTGATTGTTTCATGTAAATACGGGGTAGCCAGAGACATCGATGAGATAGTCATAGCTGATGGAACTAGATAGTTTGTTTAACTGCCTCACTTTAAATATGAAAGATCTGAATCCCTTAGAAGATGCATAAGCCAGTTTGTTTAGGTTAGAACTTTTTAGATCTTTAAAATCTGCCCCTGCCCCCCCCCCGCCCCAGGATTTTAAGTCTTGATAAATACCATTTTCATGTATAGGAAGTAACCCCATCACCAACATCCTACCTAAGTGGTCCTTGCATTTCCTCTTTTGCACGATCTGTAATTATTAAGACCCAGCCGAGTTTATTAAAGCTTGTAACAATATAGAACAACCCATTTCTTTTTATAGGAGTCTGAGCCTTATTAAATTCTAGCATACTGAGAGCTGTTTACTTTGTTTTTTGTGAAGAGGGCAGTAAGCAAGGTCAAAGAGAGAGATGACTGCCCCCCACCCTCTTTTTTCTTTCCAGAGACCTTGGGTTTTGAGGTCTTGGATGTACAAATATTTGTAGAATGAGTTGTAACTCTTCAGAACTATAATGGGAGTTGGCCTGGGATAGTCTGGGTAGGGGTGGCTGCCATGAGTGGTCACGGTGGGAATGGCTTTGACAAGTTTGGTTATATTCCTTGTTTAATTAGTTTCAACTCAGAGCCATTAAATTCATTGCCATTAAAAGCAGAGTTTTATCAATCTCTTTTCCAATTCAAAAAGCGTTCTACCTTTAAAAATGCTAGATCTCTCATCTGACCATTTCACAGAGTTTTGGTTTTTTTTTAAGATTTTACTTATTTATTTGAGGGAGAGAGAGTGTGTGTGTGTGTGTGTGTGTGAGAGAGAGAGAGAGAGAGAGGTCACGAGCAGTGGGGAGGGGTAGAGGGAGAAGCAGACTCCCCGCTGAGCAGGGAGCCCGATGGGGCTCAATCCCAGGACCCTGGGATCATGACCTGAGCCAAAGGCAGATGCTTAACCGACTGAGCCACCCAGGTGCCCTCACAGAGTTGTTTTGAAGATAAGTTGAAATAACATATGTGAAAAAACTTTTGAAAGTAGCATTGGGGCCTTATAAATTGTGTCTAGTAGCTTGTGAGTGCTCAAGTTATATTATTGGAAGTCGTAGAGGGGAAAGAATTGAATCCCCTTCCTAATAAAAGTTTACAGAAAAGTCTCATTGCATTCTGAATGGCAGAAGTAGAATTTTGACCCCCATTTGGTTAGACCCCGGCTGGAGCATAAGTCTGTCTCATGCCTCTGGCTCAAATGAGGCATGTGGTCTTTAAGCTCTTGTACTGCGAAATACCACTTCCCCGTGGTAACCAGCCCAGAAGATCCAGGAAAGTACTAATGATAAAAAGGTCATTCTCCGGGCGCCTGGGTGGCTCAGTTGGTTAAGCGACTGCCTTCGGCTCAGGTCATGATCCTGGAGTCCCGGGATCGAGTCCCACATCAGGCTCCCTGCTCAGCAGGG